CTGATTCGGAACTGTGGCCATGTGAAGCATGGAAGGGGCCACCTGCGCCATTAATGGTGTCTCCTGAATATAGGGAGTGTCTCTTAACCAAGAACAGGACCCCCTTCTTTTTAATGGAGGCCTCCCGAGCCAGCGAAAGGACATCTTCAACACAACAATGTGACTTTTAATCTACAGCTCAAACTACTTTATTCATAAGGCGACCTTATGGTCCAGATAGCGGGCCTCTTGATGTAGAAAGTCTTCTGAGACAATTATTACTCTCTACCTCAGTTATGGGCCTATTTGACCTGAATTTTGGTTATCTACGAGTAGCTACAGCGTCTTAAGCTTGTGGAAAGGGGCCTACCAAAAATGGGGGGGGGGCAAACACATATCTTTGTCCCTCAGCCTGCCGGCAGGCGGAGGAGGCGGGGGTAACCGGCCCTTTGCCTCCCCACTGCTGCGCCGTCCTGCCAGTGATGATTTTGGCAGGAAAAGGATTGGCTTAGTTATTTGGTGGGGCCAGTGGTCCTCCGCCAGTGGCTGTGGATTGTCTAGCCTGTTCTTTTCCTCTTCCGGTATCAACGTGCCACGATCAAGTCGCTTTGCTTTGTCTCTATCACAAAACTATGTCATCTCATATTTTATCGGTTGAGACAATCCCGTATCAAAAGCAAAACGCCCCATGTTTCATGACCCTGGCTTTTAACGTCCGTTTGTATGAATGGACACGAATCAAGGACGCTTGTGACTCTCGCCTGGGAGCACTAAGCACGCGGCAGTCGCAATGCCATGTTTAACTCGTCATTTCCCCCCCGCTGTGGGAGACATTTCAGGAGCAAGGACGTTATCCGGGAACATTTTATTTTTGGGAAGAAGCCGGGGCCACTGCACCCAGTGTATCCCGCGTTCTGCTTATTAATATAACGGCACTGGACAGAAAATGGTGTTTCCGTCGACTATACCATGTTTTCTTCCGAGAGCAGGCGCACCATGCCGCGGCGTCCGGAGGAGTACATTTGCTGCCACCTATCGAGCACTCACGCTACTACTACTTTTCCTAGGGCGCCACCACAAAGGACCATCACCAAACGTCCCGGCTCATGCTATGCGTCCGTCCGGGCAACGCTGGTGTACGAAATCAGTGACATCGCAACACAGCGCACGGTGGGACATGAAACAGCACCGTACGCGAGCTATTTTTACGCTCATGTAAGGGCTAAAGAAACCGACTGTAACTGGCAATGCTACACGGCGCGTGGCCAAAAGTCATGCTCAGCGTTTCAAAATTGCGTTGAGGGGTCCTAGTCCTTGCCTTTATGACAATTATAAATGTTTAACTGATGAATGTTTAGGGGCACGGGCGCTCTATTAAGATTACGTGTGCTAGTTGCAGCAGGGAATTCAACAGCATTGCTGTGCTGGAGGCGGTTTTTTATCCACCGCAAAACAGGATGTACCTACACTTCTGATATATATATATATATATATATATATATATATATATATATATATATGCCTACCTGCATCATGCATATACTGGCTGCAAACAAATGCTACATGCTGTATATCGAGGGTGACGCGGTCAGAATAAACATGCTGTTTTCGCACATTTAGAGCTGTAAACAGAAGATAACGGGCCAAGGAACACATCCGTGCCTGGTATTGCACCCAAGTTCCGTTACACTGCTGGGAACTATGGCACATAAAGCCTTGATATGTAACCGCATGGGTTGGCATTACAAACCACCGGCCTGCACGGAACATCTTCATTCTACCACCCGCCCCAGGCTGACAAACTGAAGCTGATTATTCATTAACAATAAAATATAAATGCTGAATTTGCTTAATTCTGAGCACACACCACCAAAACAGGTAGCTGGGAAGTGAACAAGTGAGTTTCACCTCGGCGAAGTGCTACTGGCCTCGAGCCCATATAATGCGCACGCCACAACAAACCTTAATCATTAAGTGCGTGACAACAGCCGCTGAACATGTAAGAGCCATGCATTCAACGCGCTCGTCACATATTTGCAGTTGGTCTCGTGGCCCGGAAAGTCTTGTTAATGGGCTGTTCCGTATGCAACTTTGAGTTCATGAAATTAATTACCCGCCCAA